TGTATAATCAAATCTTGCTTTACACATTATTATCTCTGCATCTTTCTTATATTCATATTTTAATTATTTATACCAATACCAATCTTATAATTAACTTACCTTATTATCAATCAACTAATTTATTATATCTAAATGATGAATCAAATCTAAAATCAATGATTTTAATTTCAATTATAAAAGATAATTATTTGATGCAGAAGCATTCAATTAAGTATATTAATCCAATAATTTCAATTGTGTCTACTTAAATTAACTTAATTTATTTGAATTCAATGCTGACAAAGCTTGCTCTGTAAATTTTATTCTAATTTTATTTATATATATATATTTACTCTTCTGATAAACAAAGTATTTAAGATGGATATTTATTAAAATCCATACTCTGATCTCTCAAACATTACTTCAATAAATCACTTAATGTTTCTTTCATATTTTAAGATAACACTGATAACCAATTCTCTACTATCTCATTTACTTATATTGAATTCTTGAATTAAACCTATTCCTTCTAAGATGATAACATTGAATATATCTATGTATTATCTTTACTGAATTCTACTGAGTTTATCCCTGCAAACAATTTCTTTAAATGCATTTAAATTACTTATGGATTCTAAGATTGACCTAATATTTCTAATAAATCATCATCTCCCAAAAAATAAAACCTTGGAAATTTCCCTCTTTTTTCTTCCAAAAAATCATTTAATGCTTTCTAACATCTTTCTAATTAATCTAAAACTGTATCTAAAGTATCTTTGATTCCTGGAATACTACATAAAGAAACTACTTTTTAATCTCTTTAGATTCCTAACATAATATTTCTAAAATCTTCATCTAATCTTCTAAATCTAGCTTATTCTTAAGGTAATGCACCTCTAACAAAAATAGGTTCCAAATAAACCCATTTTCTTTAAATAACTTATAATTTAGATAAATATTCATCTATACCACCTAATTTCAATTCAAATTAATCTACTTAATCTTTAAATCTAGATATAAACTTAGATTCTTTTAATGATGCTAATAATGATTAATTATCACTTACTTTAGTCATCAATTCTTTCCATTCTTTAATTAATGGAGTAACTCTATTATTATTAGTATATTCAGTTAAATCAAATTCCGAAGTATCACACCAAGTTTTTAATTCAAAAATAGCTTCTCTTAATGTTATTTCTCCTTATGCTCTAGCTTATAATTCTCTAATATCATTTTGTTTATCTAAAATTAATTTATCAGAATTCAATAAATCTTTAAATAATAACTTTTCTTTTTTCATTTCTTTTTACTTGAGAATCATAAATAAACTAGTCCAATGTTCAGGTTCGAATGCATCTCCAACAATAAGTTTTAATAAAGGATTTATTTTAAGATATAATTCAATTTAATTAAAGATATAATTAATAATAGCTTCTTTTTTAGTAAAAGTACCTTTTGTTAATTCTGCTTTTAATTATTCTTACTCTTGTAATATTAATTCTTAAAACATATATAATTTAGTTCTAAAACTTAACCAATCCTCTTTTCCTAAATTATCAACATTTCCTTAAAACTTATCAAAATAGCACCATATTATTTCAGATTCATTCATTTCTCCTTTTACTTTTTCATATTAAGTAAAAGTAGGAATTTCCATTTCAAAGTGTTAATGATCTTTTATAAGTGTTTATATTTTTTCATCCAATTATTTCCATTATTATCTCCATTATTACATACTTTCTGCTAATTCATTTGCTGATTATCTATTTAATTCACTTAATTATTTTGGTTTTACAGCACTATATCTAGCATAAAACTTTTCAATATCATTATCTATTTCTTTAGCTCTAGATTACATATCCTTTTTTAATTATTTAGTTTATTCAGCTAAAATTGAATCAAAATCTCCAATTAATAATTCAAAATTCTCCCAATTCTTATTTATTTATTATAATTATAATAAAATAGGATTTTAAGCTTATGATTAGGAACTAAGAGAATTAATTAATTTTTGTTTCTATTAACAATCTTACATTTTATGAGTCATTTCATATTTTTAAGCTTTAATATCAACATATTTTTTTTAAGCTTCATTCATTTCATTCATATTCTATGGTTTTTATGATAATTTTTATTATGTTTCACTTAAAAATTATTCAATTTCAACCATATTATTTTTAATTTAATTCTTTAATTCATTTAACATATTATCTACTAATTTTGTTAAAAATTCATCAACTTATTATTTAAATAAACTAATATTAATATTAAAACATTCAATCTTCTAATAATCATTTATTTTTTCTAATTCTTTTCTTCTCAATCTAACCTCTTTCATAAAATTCTCCCATTATTCTAAATTACCTAATTACATTTATAATTATTCAGCATCTAATAAAGCAACCACAGACCAACACATATATTAATTACTCAAACTAATCAATTTTTCAAATATTTATTCACTCTTCTCATATACTTATATTACAAATACTGCATTTCTTTCTGGCATTAACATATATATATCATTATTTCCTCCAACACCAATAAATTAAGATGGATATTAAATATATTTTTTTAATTCATTATAGTATTTTTCTCTTAATTCTTCAATTTATGGTTTAAATACAACTTAACCATTTCTAATTACTAAATCTGCTTAAATCTCATTTATAGCATGATCCATCTCTTAGAATCCTTTCTTATATTAAAATTCTAAAGCCTTATATAATTAGAAATCTATATGAGTTCTCCATCCAATTGTAAATTTACCATCTATATTATTACATGTCTATTCAATTATTTTCTTTATTAAATCTACTTTCTCTTTCCATAAACTCTTTTATTTTAAATCAATTTAAAACAATAAACAAATATTATCTATTATTTATTAATGATTTTTTCTTAATTTTTTATTTTCTTACATTATTTCATTTGCAGATTCTTAAACTTTTTAAACATAATTCTCTAATTCTTGGGTATTTTCCCAAGTTATACTATTTTTTTTTTTTGAATTTTTCACAGTATCTTCAAATTTAACTGCTTAATTCACTAACATTGGTTTTTAACATTCAATTATTTAATCAGACATCTAATTATAAAAACTAGCTATAGATTTTAAAGTTAATGCTTCTTTATAAAATTTCTTTCCTGTTTCTACTATTGTATGTATTTCATTTGATATATTTTTTCTATATCCCAATTCACATAATTATCTAACTTCTTTTATTAATTATACTAATTTATCTGAATAATTAACTCTCACTAAGCCTTCTTACATATCAATTTCCATCAATTTACCTGAAATTTATAAAGATATTTCATTCTATTTTAATTATTAATCTATTTCTCTTCTCCATTAATCAAATAATTCTTATTCAAATTATTAAATTTATTTTGTAAGATTTTAACACATAACAATAAATTATGCTGATTTTTTAATATCACTAAATAATTATTATATTAATTAAATAATTCGCTTTACTTTACCAATTAATGATTTACACCATACAATTTAGTGAATATTTTTAGAAAAACCAATTTAATAAGGTAATTTTTCTTCTTCTGCATCATCAAGAAATGCTGCTCCTGATCTAGTATTAAATTCTTATTCAATTTTAGATATCATATTAGTTATAGAAGTTATTAATGAATCACGTTCCATTAGAAAATGTTTTTAAATAGAATTTCTAGACAATAATCCAGTCCATCTTTACATTTCTCTAATTGTTTATAATGGATTATCTTTCATAACTTACTATTTAAATATTTATTATCTTAAAAGATTTAATATATCTTATTCTGAACTTTCTAAATTATTGAGTACTTTTTTATAAGCAACATTAAATAAAGAATCTTAACCTATTGACATAAATGGATTAATTTCAAATAATTCTTTAAAGAAATCTTATTCTATATTACTTCTCTTTAATTCTTCATAAATACTTCTAAGTTCAATTAGATCATATATTCTTTTTTCAATTTATTCAAATTCTTGTAAATTAGGATTAATTTTCCAATCATATTCAAAATATTTTCTTAAATTTTCTCCAAATATTTTTATCATTTTTTAACATTCAAATAATAAAAGTTTTTATTATTATGAATTACTAAATATTTATTATCCTTACGGTATTAAATGCTATAGTTTAATAATAATGGAATTATAAATAGAAGATAACATAGTTTATAATTTTTATTCATTATACAACTATTAAGTGTATAATTCATCAAGACATTACAAAGTTTAATCTAATAGATCTATAAATTTGTTAATTTCTAATAGTTTGAAATCTTTCCATTATTAAGTAACTTTTTAATAAATTTAACAAATTTAATTAGCTGTTCTTTATTAACTTTCTGAACTTGTAGCAGATTATGATATTCTTAACCATTATTCTATTTCATCAATTGGTCTACTTACATTTCTCTATTCAATTTGTATATTGTCTAAATCATTTTCCTACATTCCTTATAAGACTTATCTAAGAATTTAAATAAAATTTGATTACTTGAATCCTGATAACTTTTTTTTAATTTTATCATCAACTGTTGCTCCCATCAATGGTTAATAGATCAATGATAAATGATTACTTAATTCTGTTACTACATTAGGTGATAATAATTAGACTGTAAGATTAGTAAAATAATTATCCTCAGTTATTACATCTGTATCAATTTTAGTTATGGCAATCAATTTAGTTTAAGGATTTAATTCATCTAAATATTACATTCAAATATACCTACTTTACTAGGATTAAATAATTTTAATCCTTATCCTTACATATATTAAAGAATTAAACATTTTTTCTCTTATCCAATCATAAATTTATCTAATGTTTGTCCAGATGCTAATCCTTAAGGAGTTTAAGGTAGATTAAGAAGGGCTTGAACACAATTAACTAAATATTGTTTTGCCGGGTCCATCAAAAAATAAAATAAATATTAAAGAAAAGGAATTCTATACTTGTAATATATTAATATGAGTTTATAAATTAATTACAAAAATCAAAAATAATTGTAATTCATTTTTTATGATTTTAAAAAATAGTAGTTACTTAAGCACTTAAACTACGATATTTATCATATAAAAAGTTATCTTCTTTAACTTATTCATCATCATCAAATAAAGTAGTTTAAAATATAATTCCTGGTTTTTTTAAAGTATCTGGCAATGTCTGTAATTATATATTCTTTTAACTTTTTAATTCTTCTGGAATTGGTTCTTAAAGTTCTTCACTAATTTCATCAATTGATCTTTCATAAATGATTCTCATAGAATTATATATACTTAAATTTTGATTACCACTGCCATTATTACTACTATTTTAATAAGATTCTTATTTATTTATAGGAGGTTATAATTATTTAAATTTTGAAGGTGTTTAAGCAACTAAATTATTACAATTAAGTAAATTAGAAGAAAACTTTTCAAATTATTTAGCTGGTAATTCTTCAGGTTATAAAGTACCATATCTATTAATATTTTTATCATTATTATTTAATTGATTATCCCATTCATAATTATGATCTATAATAATATTACTATGTTTTGCTGCTTATTATAATAATTTCACAATAGTTTTATAATCTGGTTCAGATGCATAGGTTAATTTTCTCAAATATCTAAAAATGATTAATTTAATACGATTACTCATATATTCTAATAAATTCATTAGGTAAATCTTTAAATAATTCTTTAGCTTCAATATTTTCTTTCATTTCTCCTATTTTATTAGTTCTTTGATCATCAGGAATATGTTTTAAGTTTTGCCATGGTAAATTCCTAAACTAATACTATTCACAAGCTATTACCCTTTAAAACAATATAACATAACATAAATTAATGATTCTAAATCATCTTTTCTTCCTAATTCATATCCTTTATGTGCTGATATTGAAGCATATCTTGATGTACCAACAAAAGGTAATCTATCTTTAAAAGGACTTTTTTTGTATAATTTAAATAATACATTAACATCCCATTTTTACGAATATATATTTTACTTATCCCAAAATCAATTAAATACACTGTATTTTTATCATCTAACATCATATTCTCTGGTTTTAAATCTCGATGCAATACACCTTATTTATGTATTTCTTCTAATATTAATACCAGTTCTATTGATAGTTAAAATATAGATTTTAAACTAAATTTTTTCCTTTACTTAAGAATAGAAGATAAATCTTTTTATAATAATTCCATGACAATAACATTGTATTAATCCTCCCAACCATAATAATATATTTATGGTACTCCTTAAATATTCTATAATCTTTCTAAAATTTCAACTTCCTTATCTAAAGAATGTAAATGTTCGTTTTCTGGTCTCTCTATTTTTATAGCCACTTAATTTCCATTTTTCTAATCTATTCCTTACATTACTATTCCAAAAGACCCTTACGATATCTTCTTTTATGTGACGAACTGATTATTAATTTTTAGTTATTTCATACAGATTATTTTAATAATTATGTAAGAAAATACATAGATATTCGAAGTTATCCAATCATTATTTAATTCTTATAATAAACAATTCAAAATATTATTCATTTATCAATTTTAGACTAAAACATCAAATGAATCTCTCAACATTTCAGAAATCATACGACATATTGTACCAAAAGCCATGTTATATTATAAATTAACTTTTTTTATTTATATGTGATCTCGGCTTCTAAGAAATTATCTTGAAAATTGATAAGACAACTTTTACATTCTAAATAATTAGATTTATTCAATGAATAATAACTCTAAGAACTTATCAAATATACTTATAAAGCATTATTCAATTTTTAGACTTATTTCAATCCATCTTTAATCACATAATGTAATTAAAATTAACTTTAATATTTGAAACACAATCCATTACGTTTCAATATCAGTTCAAATCAGCCCAAGATTATTTGAAAATATAAAAGCCCATATTATTGTAATTCTGTAAATGATCAATTAATTAATTAATATAAATATGAGTAAAATCACAAAAGAGGAAGCCTATAAGTTAAAGAAATTGTTCTTTAAATCCTAAAATATGCTAGATAATTATTAACCTAAAAAGTATACAAATAATAACTCTCGATTACCATCTATTCAAACTAATCAATATCCTATATTAGTCTAACCTATGAAAAAGTGTATAACTCAATCTATTAAAGAACTACTTGTATTTTTTTAATCATTATTTATTAGAATACAAATGTTTATTAATATGTTGAAGGAATTCTGTACACAGAAGATTTTGTTAATCCCCTCAAAAAATAAGTGTCCAAAGTTAAAAAAATTGTTAGATTTGTTGATTGATTTCAATCGCTTATTGATGTTACTTATTTCTTTATTAATTATTCAAATTATATTCAATTTCTACATTATCAATATAAGTCTTTAATTTAACACTTAATTTTTAGAAGTGAGCGATAAATTTATTAGTCAAAAATATTGTATGAGATTATTAATTTAAACTAAAATTAATTCGTTTTTTCATGTATGCAATTTAATTAAAGAAATTTCAATCAATTTTAAGATCTCTTTTCTTCATTTCTACTTATTTATTTTATGAAATCTAAAGAAAGTATTATACAAGAAATATTGAAATATTATTTAGATTGTTTATTATTAAAATTTTTAAATATTATTACAAATATAGAATATTATTGATTTTCCTGTCTTAGATAAGAAAACGTAGATTTATCTTAACAATATTTTATCAACATCCTTGTTTTTTTTTCTGTTTTATCGATTTAATTCTCCATCTAACTAAGTTAAAGAAGCAATAATATTAAAAATTATAAATATTAAAGTCCTAGTAATAGAATAATAAAATTATTTTATATTTCCTTTTCATGGACAATGATGATCCATTTCTTAAATGCATACATCACAATCACTACAATTGATAGTATCATGTAATTATAACAATTTACATTTTTTGCAATACCAAGTCTTACTATCATTTTATATATTGAGTTAATATAAATCATATAATTTATAATATTAAATTCAACTATAAAGCAACCAAAGCATAACTTCAACACTAATTCACACAAGCTATAAAGGTTGTCAATTAAATAAATTCAGAAGAAACACTTGCATTGTTATCTAAAATATTTCTATTATAAAATGCCAAAATATTAAAAAAATATGCACAAATAAATAATGGCCCTATTTTATAATATTCATTAATATTACAATGAAGGCCAATAACTATTTTTGGTAATATTGTTTTTTTTAAAATTATGGATAGCAATTACCCAGTCATATAAGATGAATCCAAACTCATTAATTATTTATTTTTATTTTTTCTATTAAAATTAGACAACAAACTATAAATTAATTATAAGTTGATAAAATATATATTATCTAAAATAATTTCATTCATCTATTCCTGTGATATCTAATTATTTTTCATAAATGGTTCTATGTCCAGCTCTTATGTAATAAAATAATAATATAATTATGCTAATAACTGTGAGTATCTTTCCTGAATAATATAATGATAGTTTTTTAGGTTCTACTATTTCAAGATATTATCCTTATATAATGTTTTGACATGTGCAAAATAGAGCCAAATGGAAAAATTCAAAAAATCTTAAAGATTATACAATATGAGTATAAGATCTTCTTGGTAGCCCAAATTTCTTTAATTAATCATAACTGACCATTATATTTTTCCAAGTTTCAGGAGCTACTTCTTCCCTAATCATTTTTTTATCAATTCCATAAGTAATTTAAAAGAAAGATAGAGTTTTCATTCCTAAAGCACTTTCTTTGTAAGGTAAAAATAAAGTTCTTGCATAAATATTAAGGAAAAATGATTTAAGATAACACTTCATAATATAAATCAATCCTTTTTCTATAGGTACTTCTAAATTTTCTTATTTATTAATTTCTTATTACTCTTAATCTTATCTTTCAGATTATAATTAAGATTCTTCTAATTTTTTTTCATAATCAAATAATGTAAATATAAATGTACAAAATATACTATAAAATAAATATCCTAATCCAATTATTAAAAGTGGTGTTGTTTAAAATAAGCTGAACTTTATATAATATCCTATTAATAATGATTTACATAATAATTCAACTAATCTGCATAAAAACCATTTAGTAGCACTATTAGATAATATAAATATTTTTACTCATAGAGATTAGAGACTGTTTTATCGAAAAATTAAATTTCATACAAACAAATTATACTGGCACACACTAAAAATGCATAACTTGAAGTAAGAATCATATTTTGAAATTTACCGAAAACATCAATTTATTATTAATTACAAATTTACCAAATAGCTAATATAAAAACTACTGGCACATAACCAAATATTGCAGAACATCCAAATTTATATGGAATTAACGATATTCTTTGTTTTTTTTAATTTTTTAAAGAATTAATTTTGGTTCCATATTCTATATTTAATTAATTGATATCAGGTTATTTTGATTTATCTTAAGCTTTGCTTGCTTATTTTCTTCTTTTTAAATCTTGTTCATCTTCAATTTTTAATTAATCATCAATTTATTTTACTTATTTAACAATTTAAAAATTCAATATTGGAAAATCTAACAGTAACAGTGATGCTATTGTTATTCCAAAAAATTAACAATAGTATTTCCATCCTTTTGAATCTTTCTATTCTTCTTTTTATGCTTCATCATTTATATCATTGAAACCTTAAAAATTCTAAATAGCAGCTATTGTTTTGTAATGAATAATGTTCACTCCTTAGTAAGACACATAAAATAAAGAAAATATTGATAGAACTATTATGAAATATACAAAACTATCTTAATTTATAAATTAATACCTCTAATAAAAGAAATAATAGATAAGCAGTAATAATGATGCAATACCAATATAATAAATAATTGCTTATATGCAAAAATAAAATGCTTAGATTGTACTCGGATTTTTTAAAAATTTAATGAAATGTCTCTTTGCTCTTTTAAGTTTTTTAGTAAATGGAATTGATTTTTATTTCTTTGTTTGAGATTATTGTTAATTTTAATCTTGATTCATAACTGTTATTATATAATTATATTAATATTGCTAATTGTAAATTTTATTGAAATTAATAACATTAATAAATATAAATGTAGCTCGATCAAGAGACTTTAAATCTATTATTTAAAGAATTATTTAATTTAGATTAGTTACCTAATAAAGATAGCGAAGAATTAACAGAGCAATATGAATATTATGATAACATAGAGAGAAAATTTCTAAAATAATTTCATAATAAATAATTAAATAATGAAAATGAAGTCAAGTATGCTCTAATTATGATTCAATAGATTATTACATCGATTTATTGCTAGACTTGCTGAAGCATATTAAGTTTTATTGGCCAAGAAATCTATATTTAAATCTAAAGCATCAACATTTTAGCCAACTATATATAATTGCTTATCAAATATGTATGATGGAAAATAAGGAGTTTTTATATAACTTATTTAATCTATATTTACAGAATGTAAATTACAATTAGAAATTGCAAACAGAAAGCTAACCAACAATGACATAGTTAAGCGAGTGAGTATTATGTTTTTACATTATAAAGATTCATAGTTAAGATTAAGACTCCTAGAATAATGAATCATTATAATAATAATAGTCTATAACTTAATTATTATAACAAAGAAAAAGTACTTAACCTGAATGGTAAATCAATATTAATAACAATAAAAATTTAAGTTCATATTTTAAAAAAGCTCATTTAAAACTATATGATTTACTTTCAATAGACAAGTATTTTATTTATTATTATTTAGAGTATAAGATGATTAAATTCTCTATTTTCAAACAAGAGAATAAAATATGGATAAATTATATTAATAATTAATGTAATAGAATACTCATATAAAGAAGTCTTTAAATTGGGCTCTAGATTTAGATATGAATGAATTTGAAAAACACATTTAATTAATGCAAATCAAGTAAAACTCAACTACTACTCCTAATATTTAATTTACACCTCTTGATATTATTAAAACTGATTAATTTGATGGATAAAAGACTGTTAGTTCATTTTTCTCCTAAAACGAACAGTATAAATTAAGAAGTTTCTCTTAAAATTCAAAAATGAAAGATCTCTATTCATTTAGTGAAAAAATAAACATTTTTCATCCAAATTATTAAGATTCCATAAAATATAAGATTTCATAATCACGATTAGATAATTCAAAACAACAAAAAAGATAACTAGTTTAATAGTAAATAGTAAAATAATCACCTGCTGTAAATATCCTAACAAGAAAAATGATTTTTGAGTAATAACCTTAAAATTCCAAAAAAAAAACTAAGTCCTTTAGATTTAAAAACTGATTTTAATTTTTTCACAATTGTTTTTTGTAATATATTGTAAAAATCTTGTATTAATAATATAATTTCATTGTACTTATATATATTCTTTCATTTTATTTTAAATTTTAGAACAAACTTTTGCACTATTCTTTTACAAATTATGTATTTTTTAATAAATTAATCCCAAATTAATTAATTAAATTGATATAGCATACTTAAATAATTTAATTTTATAACTAAATTTATTTATTTAATTCATTTGAATCAGAATTTTCATAATAATACTCTAATAGATAATTTTATTACAATTGATATTAGATAAACTTATAAAATTTTATTTTTAATTCTAACTAATTTTATCTCCTATAGATTTTCTTAAAAATAAATATCCATCCCATGCATCAGATAATTTTCTATTAAAATCAGCCTTACCAAAACAATTCATTAACCTTCGTGATTCATTTTCTTTGAATAAATTGAATACTTTATATTTTGTATTCAACACATCATATAGAAATGATCAAATTTCTAATCTCTTTATTGATAAAATTCTTATAATTTCTAATTTAAATTA